TATCTAGGTACCTATTTTTCTTATAATATCATTGCGTAGATCGTTGACCACTCGTTCTCTATAAGCATGGATGGCGTCTTGATGTGTCTTCTCCACGAGCAGTGTCACGAACCGGTGTCTTCCATCCAATACGACCGGTCGCTTCATCTAGTCATCCACAGCGGCTGCATTGGTCCTGCCTCTTGCTTGCAATATTCCCTGTTCGATAATCGGGTTGAGCCTTTTTAATGCGCTGCCGTTGTGTAGGTTCTGGCTTTGGCAGAGCCGGTATGTCATCAGCGAAGCTCATCATCATCTCGATTTGTTCTAGTGTTAACTCTCGAGCTCGTACTCGTACGATGTTGACGAACTGGAGCACTCTTGCAGTGGCTCTTATCAACTTTTCGGAAAATCTTCTTATATCTGGCAGGTGTGGTGCGTCCTTTATTTCCCGTTGACCCACAATTTCCTCTGTATCGTCGTTGCCTGCCTTCTCGTCCTGTTGCTGCGGCCATTCTTTTTCTTCTCTGTATAAGAATGCCGGTCTGGTGAACCACTGATCACTAGCGTTCTTCACTGTAAAATTTGTGCGCGTCGCTTTGTCTGCGACGTTCTGAGCGAATGGTATCCATCTCTTTTGATCGGGTGATAACTTTTCTGCTATTTCACCCGAGTCTATGTGCAACGTATGGAGTGTAACGCGCTGTATGCTTTCGTATCCAATAGAGCACCGTTGTAGAGTCCGTCCAATTTATGACTCTATCTTCTATGTTCTATGCTCTCACTCTATGTATGTAAACTCCGCGAGTTGCACGCCTATTGGGTTCGCCTGATTGAGACGACTTTCACCTTAGCCGCTACTAACGCGTATCCGTTTTCGCGACCCTAACCGTACCGTCGCGAAAACGGATACGCAAATATGCCGCGGATGCGTACGCACGTACGCTCGCGTAACTAAAAATATGAAGGTGCCTATCTACTACTGACCCCGTAGAAGCATAACAACGCGCAAGACGTACTTGCGAAACTTCTTCGACGGCTCGCAACCATCTCGTAAATTCGACGTGCCTCCTCTGGAATCTCGTCGTCCCACTCGATCCTCTTCACCCGCCACAGGTCCTGCAGCAGGATCTTTGCTGTAATGGTGAGGTGGCTGAGCAGTCCGAATGGGTCAAAAACAGATGACTGCGCTCAACGCCTCCCTCTTGGTCGGTGGGCGATGGAACAACTTCACCTCGTGTTCATGGACGTGTTAAATGTTAAAGCGTCCTCCTCGCCCATCCACAATAAGCCTAGGGTCCTTCCGGGGCCATCCTGAGTCACTCCTACGTCCATGGGCTTACGTGCCAGCAGCTCTTTCGGTTTATCCTCTAATAAGGCTGCATAGTTTGAATTCCATCCTGCCAAAGTGAAGCCTGCTTTTGCGTGCCCTTCTGTGAAGGTTAACAAACGAGCACACAGTCTTATGGTAAGTGGATGCTGTGGCCCATAGACATCTACATTTATCCTCGAAAAATAATCAAAACGCAGATGCGTTATCGCCCCTGAGGACTATGATGGAATGCCTCGTTTCCAGTAAAAAAGTGTCTCCGGATCTCTACACTCACCATACGAAACACAGCAGTATTACACTGCTATTTTTCGTTGGTATTCTGTGAGAGCGTGATCTTTACCCGGTCGAGCCGACCCATTCGTACTACAACCATAATATAGCTGCAGCGTGGCTCTACCACGTACAAAACGCTTCAACCAACTTCGCGTAAATATCTAGGTAATTGTCCATGTAATGACTGTTGCGTTAAGGGCACGCGGATGTGTCTCGGCGTAAGCGCGCGCGTTGTGGTCCCTAACACTATGCGCGAGGAAAGATGAACTCCTCGCTCCGAATATCTTCGAAGTCATCACGTACTTACTGTCAACAAAGAACTATTGTTCAAATTTTGATAACTAATAAGAAAAAGAAAAACATTCTTTCTTCTTACTCAGTTTAGGAAATATCTTTTAAATTGTTTTAATATTATAGGGAAAGAAAATGGTAGAACCGAACCTCGAATTATGCCTTTTTACTTACTGCTACTACGTCGCATATGCAGTTTGTTCTTTAATGTCATGTTATAAAACATATGTGTATAAAAATATTTAATAAACTACCTACATAATGAATTTAAATTATTAAGTGAAAGATTATTTAAGAAACATTTGTTTAATTGGTTAAAAACCGAATGTTATTATGACGTAAAAGATTTTTTAGACTGTAATTAATTAATATTGTTGATTCTGTATTTGCATGCTATTTACCATTGTTAGCGAAACACGATTGCACTAAACAAATTGTAAGATCTTTTTATACCGTGATTCTTGCAAATAAAAAGGCAGTGGCAGGACTCCTTCTCTCTCTCTCTCTCTCTCTCTCTCTGCCTAGGAATCAGTTTGGGTAATCCTTTTAACTAGTTCTGCCGCCAGGCGTGCAGTGCAGTGTGCTGGTTTGAAGAGTCTAGAACTAACACGGAATGCCTATAATATTTAATACTGGCCGTACTGTTATACACACTCCATATTCATTTTTGTATGGAGGAATAAGCAATACGGCTCACCTGATGCATAGTGATCACCGTCTCCCCTGAACATCTGCAGCACCAGGGGAATCGCAGGTGCGTCGCCAGCCTTTTAGGAAGAACTAGGTTTTACCCGCAACTTCGTCCGTGTAGAAGAAAATGGTTCTATAGGTTCTATAGGATTTTCAATTGATTCTTTACGTTATTAATTTTGTTTTAACATATAAATTATTATGTACGTTAAATGTTTGAATAGTTATAAAATATAACAACCTAATTTATAGTGTAGGGATTTAAAGGTAAATAAACATGAAAATGAAATAAAATTTTTGATATAAGTATTTTATGAACACGAAGCTCAGCCTTTGATCCGGTGAAAGTGATATGGAGGTCAGCCCCGGATCTACAATTTTATTGAACATAGTGACACCTCTTCTCTCCAGCGTTTTAGATAACTTGTTAAAAAAAAACTCACTGTGGCATTTTTTGTAATTGAGACAGTAAGAACCCTTTAGTTTTTTATAGGATACGGAAACAAACGAGCTCACGGTCCACTTGATGGTAATTGGTTGCTGCGGCCCATAGATATCTACATATATCCTCGATTACCCCTGAGGACTAAGATGGAATGCCTCTTTTCCAGTAAAAAGGGTCTCCGGTTCTCTACATTCACCATACGAAACACAGCAGCATTAAGGTACTATTTTATTTCACGCTGGTATTCTGTGAGAGTGTGGTCCTTCCCCGGTCGAGCCGACCCATTCGTGCTACAACTATACTACAATTATAACTGCAGCATGGCTCTACCACGTATAAGTAAATTTTAAATCTTTATTTTATATTAGCTAATAACTTTTTTATTTGTGTAACACAAAGTTATATATAGAAAACATATAACCACGAAAGAAAACAGACAATCAAGACATTTAGGATCTTTAGGTCTCAGCATCTTTTTCTCCCTAATCTTGCTACAGCTTTACACGCCGTGCTTTTTTTCTCTGCGAAGGAATCTATCAGCTCATCAAATTCTGTCTCAAAGTCAGTTTTAGTTTCAATGGCTAGGATTGCGAGGCCAGATGTACGTTCCTGACACATTGTTGAACGCAGATAGGTTATATAATTGGGTAAATAATTAATATTTGCAGTTTGCTGAAGCTTCACCTACTGCTTGCAGATGTCTTAGGTAATTTGCAGTATATTCTTAAAGCTATACTAACATTAGGAAACGCTACAAGGAAGTGATGTCTGCACAGATGTTGTAACAGGTCGAATGCACTTGATTTTTTATTAATTTCAGTCAATAGCTCTTTAAAACGACAATTTCTTGGCGAAAATAAACTGGATTCGAGGTTTTCAAATATTTTTGAACTAGATCGACTCCATTTTTTTCGCGAAATTCCATTTATTTTAAAACCCGTGGCCACTACAAGGAAGGCAAAGTTTTCATGTTACTCTTTGCGCTCTCTATCCTTGTTTTAATTTCTGTTGAAATGTAGTCAAACTATACATTTATATCTTTGGAAAATAAACCATTTGGATCTAGCATTACATATTCATCCTCGCAGATTTTATCGTGTTGCCAATTTGGAAATTTGTTTGATATTAAGATCTCTCTCGATTTCTAACTTTTCTAATACAGGTGCAGCTTCTTTGGAACAATGTTCTATGGATTTTTCTCTCATGCCTTGAAAGATCTTAACAAGACTTTGGCCTTGCATTATCACCACAGAATGCGAAATAATGATAGGCTCTTTTTGTATTTCAACGTTCACTCCACTAATATCTCGAAGAATATTATCCCAAATTGTTAAGTTGAGGACAAATTTAAAATCTATCACCGCATGTTGTGAATGCGCCAGCTTCATACTTAGATTCTGCGACTAGAGAAAATTCTTGAATTTCTTCCAATGCTTTGACAATTTCCGGTAAATTATTTAATAAAATAATAACAGCCTGGTGTTTAGCCGACCATCTGGTTTGGCTACTTCCTTTTAAGTTTGTTTTTGTACACTTTTGCATTATTTTTCACTGTGTAGTAGATTCAACAAAGAAATAAAAAAGTTTTTGTACAAGCCCAAACAGGCTAACAGCTTCTAGCACGTTTACTGCGTAACAGGCCGATATCGGCCTGCCGCGGTACTTGAACTGGTGCGGACGAAGAAAACTATGTCCCTCTCGCTTTTGCGAAACGATTATCTCAGGTGTTTGTAAAAATTCGACAGAGACAAATATATATTTCATCTTGCGGTAAATGCCGTAGTTGTTCCCCATCAAAACATAACGGCAGGCTTTTATTGACCTACCACGCACTGACGGTGAAAAAACATCCGCGAGTGCGGCAGTGGGCCTATTTCGGCCCGCCCTCCCACCAGGCAGCTGGCGACCCGATACCGCACAGAGCGCGCGCCCCGCCAGTTAGTGTTGTGCTATCTAACAGCTCTGTCGTAGCGTCCGATATTATCAACAATGGCAAGCAATAAAAGAAAAATACAAATTTTGGAAAATAGAGTAATTCGCCCTGCAGTTATTGACAGTGATAGTGACAGCAGTGAAGAAATATTTTCCACTAAGAAAACTAAAAAGGATTTGGAAACAAATGTGCACGGAAAACAAAGCACAAGCGGTAAGTTTTATTTACTACCTACACATATCAACATATCAGCCTTAGACGCATAATGACGTGGGGATTTTTTATGTAATACCATCCTTTATGAAAAAGATTATTCTTAACACTTTCATTGCATTTTAATGATTTATTTTCAACAGTTGATGTCGAGAAAATTTAGTTTTTTTGAACATCTTTTCAATTGAACCATAATCCGTCCGCTTTTACCCCAACATTCCTTTTTCTCGCTAAATAAGACACAATAAGAGTCACAGTAAACTTTTTTTGTCAACAGCGGACGTTTTCAGTAGCCCCAGTGGAAGAAAATTTCATATTCTTAAACCAGTCTCGTTTTCACATGTAACTAAAACAGGTATGTCTTAATTTGAATAATTTATTTGCTTTTAGTGTTACAGTTTCTGCTGAGCATCTATTGACAGATATCTCTCTCTCTCTATCTCTCAAAATTTCATATTTTATTTAATTTTTTTACTTATATTACTGTAAAGTTTCATCTAAATCCGTTCAGTAGTTTTTGCGTGAAAGAGTAGCAAACATCCATACATCTAAACTTTCACATTTATAATATTAGTGTAGATTAATTTTATTCCACTTACATTTTTTTTGCGTTACAGAATGTAAAAATAAACCTACACCACAGACATCAAAAGGATTGTCTTCGCCTAGCTCATCGTCATTGGAACGATTTAGTATGTATAGCTCAAGAGGATGCAGTCCTTCGCTAAACAATATATCAGCTTCTAAGCTTATGCACGGCATTAAAATAGATGAAAGCGAATATCATGACTTGATAAATCTAAGAAACGATAATAAAAAGATAAAAAAGAAAAATGAAATAGAAAGGAAAGATCCAAAGACAAAACTTACATTCACTTATTCTTTTGAAGACAGTATGTCGCAAGGGTTAACTGAAAGTAATGAAAATTGTGTTTTTTATGACGAAGAACGTAATAAACAGTTTGAAGAAAATGAAAGACAGAAAGAAACACTTAATGACGAAGCAGAGAGAGAGAAAGAAAGAGAAAATGTTGATGTAGAAGATGTAGAAGAGAGAGAGGAAGAAACAGGAAATGCTGAAGAGGAAGATGAAGATGCAGAGAGAGAGGAAGAAACGGAAAATACTGAGGAGGAAGATGAAGAGCAGGAAAGTGGTGACACAGGCGATGATGAGAGTGATGAATATTCTGCAAGTGAAGTTGTATCGGATATAGATAATGATGTTTCAGAGGAAGAGGAAGATGCACAGGATAATAGTGTCAATGAATGGGATGCTGTCACAGATTTGACACCTGAGTTGGATGCGTGTACTTTAAATGAAAGCACTTTTAATATTCCTATAGAAGATATATCTCCTGCAGGTATTTTTTCCTTATTTGTAACTGATGAAATAATAGATAAAATGGTTACAGAAACTAATAAATATGCGTTAAAACACATCGCAGAAAAGCAAAATAATAACGAAATAAAAACAAAATCTCGGTTATTATCATGGAAAGCTACGAATAATATAGAAATGCGGAAGTTTCTAGGGGTACTACTCGCAATGGGTCTGAACAAAGTGCCTCATATAAATGACTATTGGTCAAAAAAATCAATATATCGAAACGAATATATTGTATCTGTAATGACTCGGGATAGATTTCTGCTATTACTGAAATTCTGGCATTTTTGTGATGATTCGTCAGCCATCCACAATACAAATAAGTTGAAGAAAATTCATGATTTGGCTAATATGCTCAACAGCAGATTCCAAGAAGTATTAAAGTAAAGTAAAGTAAAGTTACAGCCTATATACGTCCCACTGCTGGGCTCAGGCCTCCCCCTCATTTCTGAGAGGGTTTAGGGCAAGGAAGTGTCCGCCGCGCTGCCCAAATGCGTGTTGACGAACTTCACATGTCTTCGAAATATTTTTTTCTTATTCTTCAGACATGCAGGTTTCCTCACGATGTTTTCCTTCACCGCCGAGCACGTGGTAAATCAGCACTTAAAATTGCAATTAACAATTTCATTGGTGCCGGCGGGGATCGAACCCGGGTTACTCGCGTTCTGTTATATTTACAGCGAGCGTTAACCACTGAGCTACCACGGCTCTCAAGAAGTATTAACGCCAGGTAAATTCATTGTTATAGATGAATCAATGATACCATGGCGTGGCAGGCTGAAATTCAAACAATACATTAAAAACAAATCACACAAGTATGGTGATAAAATTTACAAGTTATGCACTCCAGAAGGGTATATATATAATTCAATAATTTATTCTGGAAAGGGAGAAAATGGCCGTGAACAAAATCATGGTAAAGTCACCGTACTGAAACTCATTCAAGGGCTGGAGAACAAATGTCGTGTAGTAATTGCAGACAATTTCTACTCTTCAATTGAATTGGCGGAAGAACTCTTATCTCAAAAAACCCGTTATTGCGGTACCCTAAATTCGAAGCGAAGGGGGCTACCTAAGGAGATAGTGTTACTAAAGTTGAAGAAGGGTGAAATCAAAGGAGCTATGAATAAAAATGGCGTTAAAGTTATTAAATGGGTTGACAAAAGGCAACTTCTAATGATATCTACTCTCAAAGAGGACAAAGATGTGCTTGTCAACACTGGCAAAAAAAATAGGAAGACGAATGAAGATATAAAAAAGCCTACATGTGTCTTAACGTATAATAACAACAAAAAAGGAGTTGACTTCAGCGACCAAATGTCTTCATACTATTCTACATTAAAAAGAGGGCTCAAATGGTTCAGAAAAGTGGGTATGGAATATTTGTTAGGCATGGCGTTAGTAAACGCGTGGATCACATACAACGTGAAATGTGATAAGAAGGTTTCAAAAAAAGAATTTACAGAGGCATTAATGCAATCATTAACTGGAAAAAGTATATGCGCTGATAGTAAGTATAATGACGTGTAACATCACTGTAGGCATATGTAGATTATTGTTGAAGGCGATTCCTACATTTCCGTGTTTCAACATCGTCAGACGTTCTACATCTGCAACAGGTAACTATTGTCATTATTTTGAACATATTACCAGTGTTACGGTGGCTGCGCATGGTCTTCGTGCATGAGCTTTGTGCTGACTCTGCTGTTTTCTGCGAGCAATGTTTGGCGTTGTTTGCACTACTGTTCTATTATGGTATGTTATGGCACTGTTTACTTACTCAATAACACATAATGCGAGTTCTTATTTCGGGGCACTCAGCTGCATTTATCATAAAAATAACGCTTTAAGTGGTCTACTTGATTGCACAAAATAGACATTAGGTCCTGTTACCACTATATTATACACCATATACATAATTTTATACCTATATATACAGGCTGTTAGGGTTATCACCGCTGTCCTTCAAGGAGGTAACTCAGTATCGTTTATACAACAAATTTCCCTATCATGTCGTAAACTCGAAAAAAAATTTTTGGCTTCCCATACTAACCGATCCGATCAACTGATTAAAAATTGTATTTGAGGAATAAACTATCTGATTTTTTTTGTATGAAAAGTGAGAATATTTTTTTAAGATTTCAACATGGGTCCCATAAGGAAAGTTGTTGTATAAGCGATACTGAGTTATCTCCTTGAAGGACAACCCTACACCTATACAACATGTAATTCCAAATGCGCAAAACCTCCCGTGGGGTAACTCAGCCCATGTTACAGAACAATTTTTGTTCTGAGATTCGCAAAAAATATTTTCACTTAATTTAAAATGACCTTATACACCGTGTAACGGAAGGGGGGGTATCAACCCTGAAGGAGGTGAATGTGCTCATGAAACTGAACAACTTTCCCCAAAGAATATAGGTCGAAGTATGAAAAAAAATGTTGGACTTCCCGTAGTAGTAAATCAATCAGCTGGTTGTCAATTTTGTAAGGGAAGGCCAATTTTTTTTCATATTTCGACCTATGTTCTCTGGGGAAAGTTGTTCAATTTCGCGAGTTCTGTGGTAAAACTCAATGTTTAATAAATCACACGGAATTAAGCAAAAAAATTCATAAAACCTAAGGACAATGACCATGTTCTTGAAATGAGCGCTAAACGAAGAAATTGTGCAGGGTGCTACGACAGACTGCGGAAAATCTTTAATAGTACCGAAGCAAAAAAAAAGTAAAGAAAATAAAGAAATTTTGCAGGAAATGCAACCAAAACCTTTGCGTAACATGTTTCCAAGATAGGCATAAGTAAATAAAAACATTTTACAGTTCTTTTACGATAATTCTGTTTTATTTTCGATATCCCCTTATTTTTCTCTGTCCCGTCACTACTAAAAATACTTTCTAGTGCGGTTCAGGTCGATATCGGCCTGCCGCTTTTCCTGCTTTATTTCTCATTTCTTGTTTGGCAGATCCCGGGGCGAATCAAACCTATGAACGTTGGGTTCAAGCTCATTCTAACAATATAAAAAAAAATGTATACATTATGTTTCCACAAAGTTATAGCAATTTAATCTATCCTAGTGCTGGTGGGTCTAGATCGACCACTCACGCACTGGCGGAAACATCATTGGGGGCGCATTTTGGCCCGCCGCCGCACTAGATGAAGTATTATGATTTTACTTGCCGCAGTAAACGTGCTAGATATGATGACGCTGAATGCACGCTCACAATATTTAAAGAGTGTGCTAGACATGGTACAAACTTTGTCAGCTCGTTTATTTAGAAAAGTCTGCATTGGACACCTTTATATGTGCCGACAATATAAGATCCTTTTGCGTAAGATTATCTACGACATTTTGTACATCTAAACCATCAGCTTCCAGTTACTCTAGAATTCGCTGTGTAATTCATTTTCCAGTCCTTCCATCAACTTCACTAAAATCAATAAAGCTTTCCTTTATTTCACGTTCGGATGCCGTTACTTTTATAAATTGAATCATCTGGCTCATTTGTTCCGTGTGAGATACCTATATCTAGAGCGCAGTCAAACATGATGGTAAAATAGTTGGCTTCCTTTTTGTCATTGATAAAGGTATTTCGAACTTTGTTTGCCATTAAACCGATTATTAATTTTTTTTATTTATTTGATGATATAAATATTCTCTTATATTTGACATTTCAATTTTGCAGTGTTGCATTTTTCGGGTATAATACAAAAAGTACTCTGTGGTTGCATTGCATCAAGCTTTTATGTGAGTTCAACATTTTGAGTTTTCAAAATAAAATGTAATTTAAATCAAAAGCACTAAGGAGTATCGATATCAACTTCGATGCAAATCACCCTAAAATAACTTTCTACCCCTTTTTAACCTCGTTAGGCGATGAGTTTCAATAAAATACGGGACACGTCTTCCATCAATTCTGTTAAAGAATGTTTATGCATAATTAGAAGTTGATTGGACCAAGGAACACACAATCACACGTTTGTCCCATACAAACTTTTCCACTTTTCACCCCCTTGGGGGTAAAATTTCGGAAAATCCTTTCTTATCGGATGCTAACGTCATACAACGAACACAGCCTCCGAGTTTCAGGTCTCTACAATCAGCGATTTAGTCTGTGCGTTGATCCGTCAATCAGTCATTCAGGACATAGCATTTTATATGTAGGTATAGAAGATTAAGGATTTCGTTGAGGTATACACTGGTTTGAAAGATGCGATGATGCAGAGGTAAGATGAGGTAGATGTAGTACATGTTAAAAATATATTTTTAAGTACTCAAATAAAAATAAATTTAAAGGAGGACATGCATCACGCCAGTTATAATGTTAGGATTGCTAGTAGGAATAAAACTCAAGAAAAGTATTCTTATTTTCTTTTATTGATTTTTTTTCTGAAAATAAAATCCTTTTGTATAATTAAAAACTTTCAATATTTATATTTTAACTTTGTACAAATGCAAGTATACATAATGTCAGAAATATTTGTTGATTTCTATAAAGGTATAAGATCATCCATCACATATTTTATTTTATTATTTTACATAACTTAGTACCTATTAGGTCTTTATCTATCTACATCATAGAATACTATAATACACAATAGAATGCTTGTTAACCTTCTTTTGTACGAGGATCAGCGTCGCCGAGAACACACATACCTGAGTGGATTGAAAAGTACTCGGCCTAACACAGATCCATTCAATTCTAAAAATCAAATCTACCCACATTATTTAGTTCAGTTCAGACTAGTTCATTGTGTGAAGTTCGAAACTTGTGCGATAATTAGTTGTGATTTTATAAATTTATTAACAAAGTAATCGGACATAATTTCCGCGAATGGAGCAAATCGAGCAGCGTGCCGTCATTAAGTACCTCCATAAGAAGGGGCTATCATCAAAAGCCATCCATGATGACATGGTCAGTACATTAGGCGATTGTGCTCCGTCATATTCATCCGTCAAAAAATGGATAGCAGAATTTAAGCGTGGTAGAGAGAGTGTGAAAGATGAACCCCGCTCTGGAAGGCCTTCGACGTCAACTACTGACAAAATATTAAAAAAGTATTTGAAATAATAATGGGAGACCGCAGATTAAAAATTAGAGAGGTAGCCGAGATTATAGGCATCTCTTATGAACGAACTCAAAACATCAATGTCAACGAGTTGGGTTTCCACAAGGTGTCTGCGAGGTGGGTTCCGCGACTGCTTTCAGTTGAACAAAAAAGGACGCGATTGACTATTTCACGCGACTGTTTGGAGTTATTTGAAGCCGATGCAGATGATTTTTTGAATCGTTTTGTTACTATGGACGAAACATGGGTTCATTACTGTACACCGAAAACAAAACAACAATCAAAACAGTGGAGAAGACCTGGTTCACCACCCCCTAAAAAGGCTAAGTCGATTTTCTCGGCAAATAAGGTGATGGCTTCAGTATTCTGGGACTCGAAAGGTGTGATTATGATTGATTATCTTGAAAGGGGTCAGACTATAAACTCTGATTACTACTGCACCTTACTACGTCGTTTACGAGAGGAAATAAAAGAAAAACGTCGAGGAATGCTCAGAAGAAAAGTCCTGTTTCATCAAGATAATGCCCGTGTTCACACGTCAGTACAGTCAAGGGCTGAAATTCACAACTGTGGCTTTGAACTGTTACCGCATCCGCCGTATTCACCTGATCTGGCACCATCAGACTTTTTTCTGTTCCCTGACCTAAAAAAGGACTTGGGAGGTCAAAGATTTTCGACAAACGACGAGGTCAAAGCAGCTGTAGACGCATATTTTGACTCTTAGGAAGAATCATTTTTTTTCAACGGTCTAAATGCTTGGAAGGGGAGGTGGCAAAAGTGTATTGAACTTGATGGTAATTATGTAGAAAAATAAAAATATAACTGATTTAGTATGTGTTTATTTTCTTGGTTAGGCCGAGTACTTTTCAATCCACCCTCGTACAAGCAATTACGTCGTATTATCAGTTATCACTACTACAGACACATTTTAGAGTTTTGATTAATGTTTTTCACACATAAATATTTCTTTATTTTTGTTTTATAATATTCACAAAATATAAATAGTTTCACTTACTGGGTGTAGAACATGTCTCCTTTATTTAAATTCCATTTCCCGCTGTTCTTTCGACACGTAATTATTGCACAATTTGCCACTTTTTAAATAATTTGCATGCAGCGACGCTTGACACGAAAATTGGAAACGATTGATTGTGTTGACATTTGTAGGTGTGAATTGACATGTTAGTGACAAGTTACACGGGCTCCGCCCACTTCCCCGTTCTATTATGTACCTATGTATTATAGTATTCTATGATATACATCTATACACAACTTGATTGCAAATTCACTATTCACTTACAATTATATCTCATTATAAAATATGAAACAAAAAATACAAATCTGAGGTTACAAAGTGAGGTTTACAAAGATATATGCAGGACATGTCGCAGTTCGATGATTTTATCAGCCGCTCAGTTTGATAAATCTAGCCTTTCCGTCCTAAAATACGTCGCAAATACCATTTAGCTTGCGATACGTTAAATCAAAGTACACCAAAATGTTTAAATTTAGTTCTTTTATTTTTGTTTATTATTTAATCTTTATTTTTACACTTTTAAATAACAAGGCAACAATGGGGGGAAAAAACTGTTAACGTACTCAGACCAGTCAGCCTATAGCTTGGTTTTATCAATTTCAATGGTGTTTTGTGATTTGTTTATACATTTGACTACCATGATTCGTAAAAAGGAATTAAAAAAAAACATTTAAATAGCACCTTCCAGTAAAGCCATGATCATCCTCGCAAACTAAAAATTTGTAAGTAACTATATCTTTTAAAATCAGCCAGCCTTTGTTTGGTATGTAAATCAAATATGGGTAACTTATGCATTTCATTAGACATCAGAATTAAATTACTAACGTCAAATTAGTCGTTTGATTAAACCATCGGGTTGTTTTATATTGATTGATTGATAAGAAATCGATACTTAATTAAAAACGTCGACAAAACCAAAACTAATAACATGAATATCTTTAATATTATACAAAAAGTTTATAAATTTTTTTAAAAATTTTAATTTGTAAAATATCCTTTGTGTTACCATTTAACTATTACTAGAAATTTACTGTTATAACCATCACATATATGTAAAAAACACAATGATATTGAGGTCCGATTCTATCAAACAATCATTTGATAGAGACTTAATTAATGTAAATCGAAATAACAAACACTGTAAGTACTGTACATGGTTTATCTCACGAACCGAGTCGTAGTTGAACAGAATATTGTTTTAACTCATAACGAGGTATTATATCTTAATAGTTAAAAATCAATTAGGGGTTGTACCGAACTTGCCCCCTTTTATTTATGTTTTCGGTGGTTTCTCGCAAACGGCTTAAAACATTTGAATGATTTTTTGTATTTAAATAATATTTTACATTCCAAGTTTATCGGGTTTAGGGTGTAATATGATATAGTAATGTTATTATCGTATTATCTTCTTTGGTGAAATCGGACCTCACCGTACTTTCATTTCTATTTGTTCTTTTTGTCCTTCTTCGTTTTGCTATCCGTCGTAAGCTTCTTTACAATTGCACAAATGATTTTCTTCACTATTACGTAGAATATAAACAAGACAGCCAGCACAGCAGCTAACTGATCTAACATCCACAATTCATACCACTTGTGAAGAAGAGCCTTGGAACGTAGATGGTAAGCTCCTAGAAGAAGAAAAATTGTAACTTATTGTAATCTATCTTATCTATCGCAACCTTATGCCGAGTAATGGCGACTTAAGAGAATCAATAACTTATTTTTTTTGTTTTTATTTTTTTAAGTAATATTTAAAATGCTATAAACATTAATAATATTTCCTTTAACCACTCGTGGTAAGCTTAAATTGCTTGTGTTACAAGTGGTTCACGCCAGTAGTCGAATGGCGGATTCGAATCCACAACCTTTTTGAGTTCACGGTCCGCGCCCTGCCATTAGGCTACTGTCGCTTCTCTTATTTGGTAATGGCTTGATGATGATGAAGAACCTAGATCGCAATCACTTCTGGAGCTATGGCGAAAGGTTATAATATATAGATATAAGTATATGTACTACACACTAAATATAGCAACCCGAACACTCACTATGTTCACCTGAACTGTACTGCAATCCGTACACCTGTTATTGTGTCTTCGACATTCATGCAGTGCGGAGCGGCGCTAATAATTATTTTATATTAAATTAGCACATATGCAAAATAAACGAAAATTAAAAAAATACTCGATTAACAATACAATCTAAATAAACAATTATTTATTATGTCAATTTTCGCGCGTTTATATCAACTGCTCATGCGCGACTCACAGAGTAGCGCACATTTTTTGTTTGGAATAGCTTCTCTAGTACGTAGTACATATAACTCAATGTTATAATCAAAGAATCAAATATTTTTTTATTATAGCTTGTCAGTCTGCTGAACATGGTCTGTCCTGGTTTGCCTCATATATCACCCATTTGCGATAGAATTACTGTATTTGACAGGTGGGTTGACAGTCGCAGTTTTCTTTATTATTTAATTGTATACAGGAAGATCCCATGATATGATATGGAGCAGTGGATTCTCTGCCACAAAACGGCGGCATCACACGGCCAAATTGTTATTATATTACTATTTTAAGAGCCGTGGTAGCTCAGATTGTTAACGCTCGCTGTAAATATAACAGAACGCGAGTAACCCGGGTTCGATCCCCGCCGGCACCAATGAAATTGTCAATTGCAATTTTAAGTGCTGATTCACCACGTGCTCGGCGGTGAAGGAAAACATCGTGGGGAAGCCTGCATGTCTGAGGAGTAAAAAAAATATTTCGAAGACATGTGAAGTTCGCCAACACGCATTAGGGCAGCACGGCGGACACTTCCTTGCCCTGAAACCCTTTTAGAAATGAGGGGGAGGCCTGTGCCCAGCAGTGGGACGTATATAGGCTGTAACTTTACTTTACTTTCGGCGGCGAAGGTAAACATCTTGAAAATAATTTAAAAGATTAAAAATGTTTATAAGGTGTGTGAAGTCTGTCACAATACGTACTTGAGCAACGCATCGGAATTTCCTAGCCCAAAGCTCTGTGAGAAATAGGAGCAGCACTTTTTACATATGGCTATGGGCAACAACATCCACTTACCATCAGGTGGATTGTATCTATAATAAAAACATATGTAAGAAGGACAAATACACAGTCCACCTGATGGTAAGTAGATACTAGTGGTTCAGAGACGCCTACATATAGATTATAGTAGATTAAGAATCAGAATTGAGACGCATTGTCACTCCTAAGGACGTAAAACGTTCCGTTACTATTGCAAAGAGTCTCCGTTCCTGATCACTGACCATACGAAACACAATATAATATTATACCCTGGTATTCTATGGGATTGTACTCATTTTCCGGTCGAGCACACAGCTGCAGCGTGACTTTCATACGTTTATTTATTTATTTACTTTTTATTGTACACCACTATACAAAACATCAAGTACAGTTAAATCTAAATTAGAATATGTACAATAGACGGTCTTATCATTCTGAAAGTGATTTCTTCCATAGTGATTTCTTGTATATTATAATGATTTAAAATTAGACTTTTAAATAATAAAAAGTCAGAACCAACTTGAAAGGAAAGGAGTAAATAGAAGAAAATTATCGCAACACCTTCTGTAGTCGGTGCTAAGACGCAGTGAATAGAAGAATTAATGCCTTGACTTCAGAAGCTGTTATGTTGAAATTCTTTTGTTCTGTTTAGTTCTTTAAAATCAGCTTTCACTTTCTATTAAAACTATACTTTTTTTAACCCGTTTTAAAAAGGAATATCCAATGTTTATATATCGTCTAAACATTAAAAACTTCATCCTCTATTTTTTTGTTGTGCTGGATTTTTATCCAAAATTATGGGAACACCTCTGAACTATAACTTATTAGTAAAAAAAACATGCGTGCAGAAGTGAAACCTACAAAAATAACTACACTTCGAGAGAATGAGACGAATGCAGAGTATCTGGTGTAGGATAATTGTAAAGTTTATTTATTATAATATTGTCACCAAGTCCAAAAATTATTTTACATTTTATTCTACACGTATTACATTACATATTATAGAGACTGCAAGTTTTCAATTTCATTATCGTAAGATCACATACATATTAAGGAACACTGTATCCTGTATTCTATCTCACTCTCTCGCAGGCTAAATCCTATAAATAGATGTATATGTTTGTCTCTTTTTTAGTGTCGCTTTTTCGTTTCATCGAGTTTCAAATTACAACGATTCTAAAGAAGTTTTCACTTCAAAAATATTTAAAACATCCTTTGTCTTATTCTCTCGCATGCTAAATAGATCGATTTTTCGATTCATCGAGTTTCAAAGCACAAAGACTCGAAGGAAGTTTTCACTTAAAAAAAAGAATCATTTAAATCGGTCCACAATCCTCGTTGTTTTAAAAGTCAGCTAATAATCTCACCTTTACTCTCGATGGCCAGCTCAATGTAATGCAAGATGAGCTTACTCTGCTTCACCGGGCGATTGTTGAACAACTTCGATATCGACTTGGCCTTCTTGTAATAACTACAACAGAAATACGATTATATTATATAAACAAACAAGACGATGTATGCAGTTGAATCAGGAATTTGTGCGCTTTTTGAGGGAGGCCTATTTTCAGCATTGGACTGTAATGATGATGATAATGATTACGAAACGGAAGTGTAAGAGAATCAATCCGTCAATCCATATTGTCCACCTAGATTCATATTGTCCACTATCAAGGAATCGGAGTTCAGTAACTTCTTTCAATCACTTGGAGGCAGGTTTATCGCAGGAAGTGATTATAATGCCAAGCATTCGTTTTGGGGTTCCAGGCTTGTTCTGCCCAGAGGACGAGAACTCCTTAAATGCATACAAAAAAGAAATATGAACGTGGTATCGTCGGGTCAACCAACTTACTGGCCAATAGACAAAAGAAAAATCCCAGATGTTATAGATTTTTGTGTCAGCAAAGAAATCGCTAAGAACATCATATCGTGCCAGAGTTGCTGGGATTTATCTTTAGACCACTCTCCAATCATAGTAGAACTACATACCACCACCCAAGAACGCGCCATATTGTCCCATAAGTGTCGTAAGAAGAGACTATGGTATTCGGACTATGGGAAAGAACAGAATCATCTCATAGCTTCCGATAGATGGCGGTATAACCCTTAATTGGACTTAGTTATGCATTAGGGATCCAACTATGGAGTGTAGAGGTAAGGAGTACAGACTCTGTATAAAAAAGTGTCCGAAGGAAATAAGGGTGGCGCCACTGTAGCTACAGTCTAAATATTAAAGAACTTTTTATAATTTTTTATTGCACAGACTTTCACCATAATTCTTTTTCAATAATTATTTTGTTGCTTTCAAAATTTTTATTTTGAAAATCACTCTCAACGTATTTTACGGCGATTTATCATACGCCGTAGCTACTCGAGCGCTGTTGTGGAGAGTTTTTGAACTGTTATTCACTGCTGACAGATGGACACTTTTTCAACTATTCTCCTATGGGAGATTATCCTCCTTACCTCTATACTCCACGGATCCAACCCTTAATGAGGGCTAATAATCTTCCCCTCACCAGATATCGCTAATTGACACTGAGATGAAATTTTTGTACTCGTACGCAATGTCATTTAAATGAGAAGTAAGTTTTAAATAATTGTTTAATACACAAAACAATACCTCAGACCCTTTTTACTGGAAACGAGGCACGCCATCTTAGTCCTCACGGGTGACACCGCACCTGCATTTAGATTCGCAATCGAGGATAGATGCAGATGTCTATGGGCCACCGCAACCACTTACCATCAGGTCGACTGGGTGCTCGTTCGTCACCCTTTCCTATAAAAAAGTGGTTTTCTCTTTTATTTCATGCACATTTTAACTCCTTTTTTAAATTTTTCTACTCTTACGAATATTTGTGGCATGGTTTATTTAATTTTAATGTAATTAATATAAAATGTAACTAAATGTACAGAAAGATACATTAACCTTTACATTTTTCGAACAAATTAATCCCCGCCATGAAATCTGTCAAATATTACACTTCATTTTTAGTGGCGCCGCCCTGGTGGCACAAAAATGATGATGATGAACACAATCGAAAGCCTTGGAAAGATCACGAAAAATACCTATAGCATCTTTGAACTCTCGCAAGCATTAAAAATATATTTCCTAAGCTAGACAGCGACCCCTTGTGAAACCAAATTGATTTTAATGAAGTTATTTAATTTTATTAAACAAAATTAACAATTGATCTAAAATTATATTTTCAAAAAATTTACTGAGAGTTGCTAGTAGCAAGAATAGGTCTAAAATTACCGGGGTCCAATGTACTACCAGATTTAAATAAAGGTATTACTTTGCTATTTTTTATTAACTCAGGAAACACACCAGATTCGAAACTAGTATTAAAAATAATTGCAAGATGAGATGCAATTAGATCTATTATAGACGCAATAACTGTAACGGAAATTCTCCATAAATCTACAGTTTTCTTTGCAACATAAAATAAATAACAATTTAAATAATTATAAGTAATGTAGTGTGATTTTTTTGCACATTCAATACATTTTAAGCGCGCAATGTGAAGCGAAACGTCACTTTAGCACTCAGCTTTGACAGTCCTAAGCCGATAAATTAATAATCCATAATAATTTTAAGTTATAAAATCTATAATACACCCATTAGAATAATTTATATTTACCTGTCATTAGAAAGCATTTCGTTGAGAGCAGTCTTGAGTTCCGGAGCCATGTCGGGTGAGAACTTGACCTTGAGTGCGTGACCGGCTCGCACGGAGCGTGCCGCATTGCCGGGCTGGTCGCCGAAGGCCGGGATCGCAATTATTGGAACCCCGTAGCGCAGTGACTCTAGTGTACTGAGCAGACCTCCGTGGGTTATGAACACCTTCACGTTCGGATGCGCTAATGGGCATTATAAATATATAAAATTTATATAGGTATTGAATATTGTATCAAAAAAACTCGATACTCAAGAACCCTTAATTTTACGAAACGAGGGAAAAGAACAAAGGAGTTAAACAAACATTCCTAATTGCTAAATTCTTCGAGCAATAATATATAATTTTGCGTCAGCCACGTGTCCCCATATACCATACGACATTATGCTATGGAAATAGCTAAAGTATATATAGCTCGCTGTTTCAACACTGGTAAGATTTGAATATTTTTCCAGCATATGTTGCAGAACTAAGTCTGTTAGCTAGTTTTGATATGTGGGGACCCTTTTGAAGTTTCACGTCTAGTGTGATTTCAAAATAAATGGTGTTATCGACATGACTCAGCTCCTCCCCATTTAAAATTACATTAGTATTTTGATGTTTGTCATTTGGAGTTATGAATTACATACATTTTTTTTAGTAGTTTGAGTACCATTTAAATGCAAATTATTAACGTTAAAATTAAGATATATTCATTTCACTGAAATATTTTTCGGCATATTTCAGCAATTGTCGTTTTAGTTTGAAAATTAATGAAGTAAATCAGCAAATAATACTATATCATGGTTATCCACTAACGACGTAAATCAAATCATTAATATAGACAAGAAACATAAAGGGCGAGAGTATAGAACCCTGAGGCACGCTCATTTGTACTATCGGTGCGGAAGTACTCATACCGTTAATAACAACTTTTTGCGTCCTATTACTTAAATATGAAATAAAAAAATTAAAAAGTATCACTTCTAACGCCAGTGTCGTATTTTATGATTAATGTCTCATGGTGAACACAATCGCAGACTTTGGATAGGTCACAGAATATACTCAAAGCATCCTGTCAATTCCCGAATGCCTTGAACATATCTTTAATCAGTTCACAGCATCAGTTGTCGAGCGATCCCTTCAGAAACCCAATTTTATCGAGTACTTACAAAAACGAATAATTCGGTGACTTAGTGTTCTACATCGGAATTTCAGAATAATATTTCTCAAAAACCATTGCAACAAAATCAAATATCAAAGACTCACCCAAAATACTGGTTTGTGGCATCCACGGCCTGATGTGTACATTCTTAGGCAGTCCGTCCAATTTTTCTTCGAATTTCCACAGCACGGTGTATGGAAGCTCACCAAGAACCTTGAGCAAATCGCGCTTGGTCTCCTCGTGGAGAGAAGAGGATTTGAGCACGGATCCCAAGCTGAAGTAGACGACGCCTCTGGGCGATGCGTCTAAAATTTCTTGAAGATCCTGACGAAGTTTGTAAATATCTTAGGAACACATTTTCTCTACACAACTTTTCTCTACGTGGTAGAGATGTACTGCAGCTATATTATTAATATAACACGAATGAATAGGCTCAACCAGGAAAGGAAAAAGCTCCCATAGCTCTCATATAATCTCATATACGTTTGAGGTTCTGGGATTCGAACCCAGGACCTCAAACGTATATGAGAACCTATATATCTAAACCTAAATATATATAAACGTATATATCTACGTGATATCTACGTGGTAGAGCCATGCTGCAGTTTATCTACGTGGCAGAGTCATGCTCCAGTTATATTAGTAGTATAGTTAAGCACGAATGGGTCGGCTCGACCGGGAAGGACCACGCTCTCACAGAATACCAGCGTAAAATAGCAGCTTAATACTGCTGTGTTTCGTATGGTGAGTGTAGAAAACCAGAGACCCTTTTTACTGGAAACGAAGCATTGCATTTTATTTCTCAGATGGTGACGACGCATCTACGTCGATGTCTTTGATGTATATGGGTCACAGCATCTACTTATCATCAGGTGGACTGCGGGATCGTTTATCACTCATATTCAAAAAAGGACCAATCCAACAAATTTACATAGCAATCACCACGATGCAAAAATAGCAGAATAATGCTGCTATGTTTCCCATTTTGAATGTAGGGAGGAACCAACGACCCTTGTAACTGCTAACGAGGAAATGATCATCAGAGGTGACAATGCACTTCCATTTTGATAATTCTTAGAGCCTAATTACTGACGGCATCTTAAAATGTCATGAGATTTATTTATCTTAAGCTTACTTGCTACGGGGGAATGCGGCTGATTTAGAAACTATTTTTGTTTTGCAGAAGAGGGATATAAGAGTTATACCTTAAACCGAGAGTCTCTTAGAGAAAAAAGTTTGTATGTACGTTCACAAAAACAAAGGTAGTTTTAGTAAAAAAAGTGATATACACTCTGTTAATACTAACAAACACAAGCTAGTGATACCAGAGACTCTCGACTCCACACAGTCAGTAATTCATTCTTGGGGCAATGTATACGCTATTACAACAAAATCCCAGAAAATATACAAGGTTTATATATATATATATTTTTTTTATAGGATATGGTGACAATCGAGCACACAGTCCACCTGATGGTAAGTGGTTGCTGTGGCCCATAGACATCTACATCTATCCTCGATTACGAATCAAAATGCAGATGTGTTGTCACCCGTGAGGACTAAGATGGAATGCCTCGTTTCCAGTAAAATGGGTCGCCGGTTCTCTACACTCACCATACGAAATACAGCAGCATTAAGCTACTATTTCACGCTGGTATTCTGTGAGAGCGTGGTCCTTCCCCGGTCGAGCCGACCCATTCGTGCTACAACTATACATCTAATATAACTGCAGCATGGCTCTACCACGTAAGTACCACGTAATATATTCAATTAAACAAAAACACTATAAAAAGAGTTATTATAATATAAATGAATACATGGTTGATGATAACCCCTGGGAATGAGGTGGTCGCTTCCAAGCTGTTTCTAAAATAAATTTTGTAAATATTTTGTGATCATTGGCATTGTAAAATTTATTTTAAAAAAGAAGTCCCGCTGGGTTTTCTGCTGGTTCTTCCCAGGACTGAGGTTTGATTTCGAAGCGCTGGTAAATAAGAATTACTTGTAATCTATATTGAAAAAAAAATTCTATTCTATTCTATTCTTACTTTAGGCAACGGTGGTGTAATCTCGTTGATGTGATACCCAGCAATCTCGATCACGTTACTCGGGAGGCTTATAGCAGGTGTGAACGAGGGGTGCGAGTTCACAAACAAAACGGAAATATTGTGCATTGCCTCAGAGAACGGAGGCAGTGGCACTCCTCGAGCGGCTGCGAGAGGTGCGAAATGCTGCTCGTAAATGGAAGAAGTTCTTGCTGTGCCTCTCCTGGAATTACAACGATACAAAATAAAGATAGTCCTTATTAATAAAAGGGACCTTTGTCAGACTTTACCATGTATTATATCCTCGGCTCAATAGGATGAATATTTTGTAGATCATAAAAAAGTAAAGTTATAGCCTATATACGTCCGACTGCTGGGCACAGGCCTCCCTTCATTTCTGAGATGGTTTTAGGGCAAGGAAGCGTCCGCCGCGCTGCCCCAATGCGTGATGGCGAACTTCACATGTCTTCGAAATATTTATTTTCTTATTCCTCAGACATGTAGGTTTCCTCACGATGTTTTCCTTCACCGCCTAGCACGTGGTAAATCAGCACTTAAAATTGCAATTAACAATTCCATTGGTACCGGCGGGGATCGAACCCGGGTTACTCGCGTTCTGTTATATTTAGAGCAGAGCGTTAACCATCTGAGCTACCATGGCTCATACACCCATTGTAGATCATACACCCAGACGTTTCTCTGCAATTGGCGCGTAGTTTCATTTCACCATAACTCCTCCCGCACTACTCATTTAAATAATGTGTTTTTGAAGTAAAACTTTTTTACGCACGCTTGACTTGGGGAGTAAGCTGGCGAACACGTGACAAAAGAGTTACGAAAAGTGTGATCGGGGGTTGAGTGGTGGATATAAGCAAGAGAGAGCAGTGTGCGCGTTCATTATTTTTCTCTCTTTCTCTCATAACCAGGTAACGTTCCGTATATTACGAATTGATATTTTGTTCAATACATTAAATATTCTACGTTTAAAGTGAATATAATAAATTCATTTTAAAGTTCATGTTTTGTGAATTTTCGGGTAGTAAATAATAACAAATTATGGAAGGAAACCTATAATAATTTTAAATATTCGTTGAAAAATAATATATGTATATGTATATACATGTATAATATATATGTGCATACAGATGGAGCTAAAGAAGTTTTACTTCAGCCATAAAGCACACTCGTTTTTTATTTACATTTAGAAACATCACTTTAAAGTATTGTTCCCGAATGTTATAAATTTTTGAACAAAACGTAATTCCATCAAAAACTTAAATATGAAAAGGGAACCAAGTTCGGTACAAAAGTTTAGGGTTTGGGAACACTTTAGACTTTTGGAGTGGTTGGCTTTGCCGATAGAAGTTGATCTGAATAAGTGCCAAGTTCCATAGCAGTTCCTTAAATCCTAGCTACAAACCTACTACTTAAATGTTTTGTAACGAACAGTTTGTAATGAACAGTTTATCTTACACAAATGTCCCGTTAACCAAGCCATGCGCACTTTAGATCGTACAATACCTACCTCCCGTTCGCTCAGTAGAGCACGAATTTGATCAGAATTATGTAAAATTGTGTACCTACCTATAAAAAAACTATTTTTTCGTTTTAAACAAAATCAAAGACATTATGCAATAGATAATAGTATCAAAGACAAAGATATGCTCTTTTATTTTAAACCATAACCTGGCAATGTTTGTTAGAAAAAAAAAAAAAAGAAATCACTCTGAACTTTCGGCGTTCCACGTGTCGTTTTGATGAAGGTGTTCCGTCTTTTTTATAGAATTTTATATTTGTATCTGGACTAAAAACGAAAGTATTATACTTTTTTATATTCCTTGTAATATAGTGAACACGTATATATATAATTTGTGGTATAAAAAGTGAAAAGTAAATTGCCAAAAGTACTTCAAAATCTGGAAGGCCCATTATGGCGGTTGGGTCATAAATGTGTTATTTTTCAAATTCTCATTTATTTTTAGTGTAAAATGTAAGTAAAAATAGTTTTCTTACATATTTCAAATAACTTGACGTTGTATTTATTTCAAATTCACACAAAACTATTTTAGAAATATTGTTCTAAATGTCACACAGATAAAATATTATTATTGTTTTTTTTTTTAATTTTTTAATATTTTAATATTTTGGTATGAGTAACGAATGGAAACATATAAAACATAAAAATATACATATTTCCAAACATTTTCATATAAATTTCTCTAAAAACAAAAGTGTAGAATTCAAATTAGTAGTAATTTTGTCACTAAAATTGAAGTATATACTACTACTATGCTATACAGGGTAATTTACGTATTTTATTACAACTTCTAGCAACCAAAAATAATTTTATTCGATAGTTTATACATTCAACAAGAATTCCTGTAAGTTTTATCCATAAATATTGTCTCAAAGTGAAAATATAGCAAAATTTGCAATATAGCAAAAAATTTGCTAATTTGCAAATTTTCCCGCCATTACGGTCCCGAGCGAACGGGAGTATAACATGTCGCGCGCTGTCAGAGCTTAAAGGACACATAATTTTAGTAAAATAGTTACCGCGTTTTTTTTTTTAGATAAATAAAGTATTTGTGGATCCCATCAAGATAACTAAACAAGGATTGTCTAGATTCCATTTGTAGCGTCAATTTCAAACTTATAAATATCTGAAATCACTGAAAAGTTTAAGAAACAAAAAATATAATTAATTTGAAAGAGTTTATTAAATGATATTTTGATTAAGGTTATTTATATAAGAAATTAAAAATTAAAATAATGTGAAATTTTTAATAAAAAGCTGTTGATATAACGGTTATTTCCACCAATTTATATTAATTAATTTAAACCAGCTTTGCTCTTCTTTTAAACTTCGTCTAGTAAAGTAATAAGCAGTAACATTTTTTGATTAGTGACCTAATTAGTTAATTTTTTATTGATTATATTGCATTATACTTTATACTAATTTTTGTTTTGTTTTAACATAATTTCAATCAAATTATATTATATGCATTTCTAAATATGTATTTCATCCTTTAAATCAAATCAAATAGTTTATTGGAGTATCATTATATTATTTATTATTATCGTCGATGGAGTGTCTTACTTGGAATAGTGGTGTTGGAAGTAGTGGTGCCATGAGAGGTGGAGTGTTGGGACTGGTGGTGGCGGAGTTGATGCACGCAATTGAGAGAGGGCGGGAGGTGCTCTTCAATCCAGGTAAGACAAGACACATCATTGTATTTAGTTAGCGGAAGGTTGCAAATTAATTAATATTTTATTATAATGGGTTTCCGCAAAGTAACGCCTGATTCTATCAATTATCTTTTTTTTCTGTTTATTTCATATTGCACACTGCACCTATCCGTCAAAATATAAAATTATAATATCCTCTTATGTTCGGTTTGTCAGGCAGAAATCGATCAAAGCGATATGACCACCGTTTGTGGTTCATAAGTTTCCCGTTATTGTAATAACTTTGTTCAAATGCAATAAAGAGTTATCTATTATTTATATCTTGTATAGTTAGAGAACCTTTACCAAAGTAATATTTAGTAAAAATTTCATAAAATTTAAAGAATATTGCTCAATCACACACGCACGTACATATGGTACGGTAAAACATCCGCAAGACTACACGTGCATTCCCGTGTACCAGTATCGTTAACAAAATTATTTCGTAAAATTCATTCATTGCAATATTTTTCAAGCCAATGGGCATCAAGGATTTAGCACTTTCTTACACCACAGTGTCTTAAACTTGGATGTAAAATCTTGTCTCGTAGAAATATGCAACTTTAATAGGTTTTTCTAAAGAAACTGTTCATGTTCTTAGTAGGTATACTGCAATTAACATGCAGTTACACATCTAGTTAGAAATAATAGATGATATATTCTAGTTAGAAATAATATTCAAAAAAAATACGTTTTCGCTATTTCAATAGAATGACATAAATTATACGTATTAAGGCGATAAATTTTTGATAAAATCATGAAAATCAAAAAATCTTGAAAACATAACAGTTTTATTAAAAAAAATTTTGCTGTTATCATAGGGTACGATCTCATTTCTCGCCACATTTCGTTTGGACTACTATTAACAGAACAACTGTATAATATTAATCTTGACGATTGATACATTAAGACCAATATTCCCCACAATGGGAGAGGCACATGCCCAGCAGTGGACATTAGTAAGCAAAAAGAAAAACATGCTTACCAGAAAGAGAACATCATAACCCCGAAGCTAAATGTGTTTTGTAGGCGATCCCAAAAGCTCATGGGCGCTGCGAAATCATTCATCATAAACGGCGCGACCGGCAGGGACCGGATCGTGTCCACTAGATACTCCAAGTACGGATGCATCACCACGCCGCTCAGCATGATCCAGGGTACTTGTTGGACCGCAGCGTACCTAAAAGCGTTGGTATTAATCAATTCGACATGATAATATACAATATGTAACGTAATTAACGCACACCCTCAGACACCCCAATTAGTATATTATATTATAATCATAATACATACACTGAATTTATAGTTAAACATTTTTATGCACTGTTATTTATCAAATTAGTTATACTAGTTCCGGAAGAATTTTGTGGTCACAGTACAAATCCACGAACGCAAAGACTTTAACGTGCTTGAAATAAAGTTCATTTTTCTTTATTTTTATTGAATGACAGAATTAGTAATAATACAAATAAAACTCCACTCTCAATCTTATTGCCTTAAGTTACGGTCCATTTCAGTTTATTTTGACTGTACAGATTTAGTGTGACCGTAATTTACGTAATTTTAATTGATTCAGTAAACGATTCTGAACAAACTACTTTCTCAAAGTGCGTTAATTATGTTACATGTTGTATATGCATAAAGTTAAAATCGGGGTTTGGCTGAGTCCAGGTCATGGCCTTGTGTTATACGTGAAAACGTGTGGTACCTACGTAACGAAACGAAATCAAAATGGCGGGGTCCGCCTTCCGTGATACGTCACAGTTCTCACTCAACGTAACGAATTCTTTGATCATTTATCTATCGAGTAGTGTAATTATTTTTCGTATGTAGATGATAGATATATATAGCTGCTACACCGTTTTGCTATCATCAATTTTCTTAATTGCCTTCCTCTATGGAAGACCTAAGATATTCACAACAAAAATTAGTAAGGAGAACCCACAACCCCATTTCAAACCACGGAAGCAACCCCATGTCACACCGCGGATGTCGTAAGAGGCGACTATGGTCAGAAAAATCTTGGCTTCCAATAGATAACGGTGGCTCCATCTAGTGTAGATAGAGTACTTGTTGGATATCTAGACCGGCGACGGCAATCACCGTCTACTACAATCCGCCTGTCAAACGTGACGACTACAATGGAGGAAGACTATGTCCAGCAGTGTTCAGTTTCATCCATCCATTACAGCGTATAAAAGTACTGCTGAACCAAGACCTCCCCCATTGATTGTTCATATGGAGCTTGGCATTGTTCATATGGAGCTTGGCATTGCTTGACTTCACAGTTTTTTATAACTTTGAGTTGTTATCAGGAAGATATAGCTGCCCATCTTCCGTTTTAAGTTCCTCCTGTCGTCTGTTATGACACCCACTGGACCATATAGAGTAGTGGAAATTGTTACAACGCCACTATACGGTCCACTTCATCTGCTACAATGTTACCTTGTGGTGTGGTGATGTGCGCGACCGCGAAATTTCTACATGCCGGAAGCGGAGTCTAGTCTTTTTTATATAAAATTACGGTGACAAACGAGCACACAGTCCAACTGATGGTAAGTGGATGCTGTGGCGCATAGACATCTACATTTAACGTCGACTAAGAATCAAAATGCAGATGCGTTGTCACTCCTGAGGACTACACTCACCATACGAAACACAGCAGCATCAAGCTGCTAATTTACGCTGGTATTTCGTGAGAGCATGGTCCTTCCCCGGTTTAGCTGATCCATTCGACCTACAACCATAATATAGCTGCAGCGTGACTCTAGCACTTACCCAGCCTCAATGTCCGAGAAGAACCATTCAGAAATTACCGCGTCATACTTTTCTTTCACGAGAGCCTCCCGTACTGCTGGGAAACTCGCCGCAGCCAGAGAAATGTTTCTACCGAAGTCTCGAACCATCTCCATACCCATTAGCGGGTTTTTCGTGATGTCGTGTGCTAGAACGAAAAAATGTATGGGAATAGAAAATTATTGAATTTTTTTAAATACCTATAGGCATAATGATATCCAAAGTAGAACCAGAGTGTCCAACATAATCCAATTACTACCGACAGTCTCGTACTGGTAAGTGAACTGTAGCCTCCCCCCCCCCCACTCATGGATTGACGACCCAGTAATACACGCAGAAAGTCGATGGATGATGATGCCAGGCGTTTCAGGACCAAATACAGTAGCATTTACATAGGCCTCTGGAATAATGATAATGATGATGATGATTATGCCTACAGCTGACTTACGAACTTTGATCAGTGATTTTACAAATTATCTAATTAGCTTCACAAGTCAGTTACAGTAGTCAGTTTAATGCTGCAACCACAATGTAGCAGCAGCTATATTGTGATTGCAGCACGAATGGGTCGGCTCAACCGGGTTAGGACCACGCTCTCACAGAATACCAGTGTGAAATAGCAGCTTAATGCTGCTGTGTTTCGTATGGTGAGTGTAGAGAACCGGATACCCTTTTTACCGGAAACGAGGCATTCCATCTCAGTCCTCAGGCGCATCTGCATTTTGATTCTTAATTGAAGATAAATGTAGATGTCTATGGACCACTGCATCCACTTACCGTCAGGTGGACTGTGTGCTCGTTTGTCACTTTTATTCTATTAAAAAAACCCTTAAAGAATAGGAAAAATTGACTTTAAAAACTTGAAAACAAAAGTGCGTTCTATTGTTTACACATGCGAAGTGAAACTTCTTTACGACATGTCATTCTTCTTTTATTTTATATTCTACATGAGTAGGTTAAATAATACTCATTCAGTCCCGGCGGTGAAACCTTATTTTTGTGTATAAAATGGAAGTCCGTAGTCTCTGCCTACCCCTCTGGGTGACAGGCGTGAGTGTTTATGTATGTATGTATTTATGTGTTTTACAATGACTCGAAGGCCAGAAAGCTATGCAAGACAAGAAGCTATGCCAAAATATATTAAAAACGTGTTGCGCACGTTCCGTTTCAGACTACGAAAAACTTGCTCATTCGTCATGCGGTTTGTGAATGTTCAAAATAACCAATTTCTTTTTTTATAATTAATTAATTAATGATTAGATACGATTTTTAATGGTTTTGTACTATGGTGTGGAAAGAAAAATAAGTGTACAGACCTTATCTGACAACTGTAACCTCAAACTTTTATTTACTTAATAGCATTTTCCCTGACCTCTAAATGAAAAGATGATAAGTTATTATGTTATTATAAACAATAATTGTTTTATACATCAGTAACGTAGGTAGACGCGACGTTTTTAAGGAATCAAGTGACAGGTCATTCAATGTATGGAAAGTGGCATAATATTGAATAATAACCATGTATAACCGATGCCCAAACTCTGACACTTTAATTTTTAGAGCAATTAACTTACAAGCAGAAATATCACGAGCAGTGCTCACTTCGATCTGTTTCAAATTTTTATGCGATGACTTCTCTAGATACGGCGTCACCCAGGTAACCTGTAAAATAAAGTAAAACTTATAGTATAGTCTCACTGCCCGGCACTTTCCGAGAGCTTTGAAACTGGCAAAAATCGCCTGTGCTTACTTAGTACGTGTTGGCGAACTTCACATGTGCTGGAGTATACTTATTCCTTAACACGATAAATTGCTATTACTGTATAACTGTTAATTTATTATATATATTAGTATATATATTAGTTAATTATAACTGTTAAACGCTCAGTAGAGCATGCTGGAACAATAGCAATAGAATATTTACTTCATTTGTTATTTCTGTAGATTAATTACGGATAGAATTGTGCTATAAGGAAAAGCCCCTTTTTTACGTGGTAGATCCATGCTACAGCTATATTATAGTCGAGCGGGGAAGGACCACACTCTCACAGAATACCAGTACAAAATAGCAGCTTAATGCCTGTGTGTTTCGTATGATGAGTGTAGAGAACCGAAAAGACTTTTAACTGGAAACGAGGCATTCCATCTTAATCTTAATGAATGACAATGCATCTGCAATTTGTTTCTTAATCAAGGATAGATGTAAATGAATATAGGCCACTACATCCACTCATCATCGAAGGGACCGTGTGCTCGTTTGTCGCCCTTCTACAAAATAAACGACTGAATGTAAAAGTAATTTGTAACCGAAATCCTGAAAACTTCGAGAAAATTTAAAGAAATAAATATTTGTGTATGTGGGCCTCACTAAAGCTTTCATTCGAGAACAGTAGAATCTATAAAAGGAGACTTCAAAACACAGTTAGTTCATTCTGCGTAGATCGGACCAAAGACAATAATTAAAAAAGCTGAAGGTACTCCGGGTTAACTTTGACATCGGGACGTCAGTCACCTCAGTCCCCCGTGACCGTGGGTGCTGGAAAGCACCCGAAACGTCGGGTATTAAAAATAAAATAAATAAAACGCGATAAAATCCGTAAAAGTAGTTTTAATCAATATACAGTGTTCGCGTAAATATAAGAAATCATAATGTTAATTCTGTTAACCTTTTGGCTTTTACAGTTTCATGGATCTCAGTGTCTGCGGCCTTAAAGCCGCGGGCTATGAAAGGGTCCATTTAAATCATTCTGCATCATTACTTGCGTAACGATGACTCCTCCGACAGTATACAGTCCACATGAGTGAGTTGTCTAACAACCGTTCGAGCATGGGGTAGCAAGCTCCGGCTCTGACGGCTAACTCGTATCGTTCGATGTACTGGGCGGTGAAAACCTTTTATACGTACGTTATATACGTTTTTATACGTGGTAGAGCCATGCCGTAGTTATATTAGTAGTATAGTTGTAGCACGAATGGGTCGGCTCGACCGGGGAAGGACCACGCTCTCACAGAATACCATCGTAAAATAGTAGCTTAATGCTGCTGTGTTTCGTATAGTGAGTGTAGAGAACCGGAGACCCTTTTTACTGGGAACGAGGCATTCTATCTTAGTCCTCACGGGTGACAACGCATCTGCATTTTGATTCGTAATCGAAGATAGATGTAGATGTCTATGGGCCGCAGCAACCACTTACCATCAGGTGGACTGTGTGCTCGTTTGTTACCCTATCCTATAAAAAAAGATACCCGTAAACGCTGGTATACGGCGTGTACTCGGTGTGAAAGGATGCGCGAGGCACCCTTCTTCGGACTCGCTGCGTCCAATCCATTGTCCTAACAGTGTTTGTGGCACTAGGCGCATGTGTAGTGTCTGTCATGCATCAAATTACCTGGTGGCCAGCCTCCAAGAGGACATTGACGATGCCCTTAGCCAAGAGCGAGTGACTCCGCGATGGTATCGGGAACATACATAGGATGTGGTATCCCGACACCGACGACACCGCGGCGAGTACTGAGAGTAAGACAAGCACTCTTACCCTCATTGTCGCTCTGAAACACAAAGAATAACTTCTGTACCTGAATTTTGTTGTTTAATTATTTTATCTTTTTTTTTTCAACTAAATCCTTAAAATCGGTACCAACGGAAACTAGGTGTCGGTTTTACGTGGTAGAGCCATGCTGCAGTTATATTATTAGTATAGTTGTAGCATGAATTGGTCGGCTCGACCGGGGAAGGACCACGCTCTCACAGAATACTATCGTCAAATAGCAACTTAACGCTGCTGTCTTTCGTTTGGTGAGTTTAGAGAACCGAAGCCCCTCCTTACTGGAAACGAGGCATTCCATCTTAGTCCTCACGGGTGACAACGCATCTGAGTTTTGATTCGTAGTCGAGTATAGATGTAGATGTCTATGGGCCACAGCATCTACTTACCATCAGATGCTCGTTTTTCACCCTGATCCTTTAAAAAAATCTACGCAGGATAACTTTATAGTGCACGAATGTGAACTTAAGCACAGATGCTCTATGCCTTCATTCTCAAAGGACACTTCCGGAGAGAGATTAGGCGCAAGGCCAACGGCTTAAGATACTATTCATGGCAAGGGGGTGAAAGTCCTAATACATATATATAATAATTACTTGACCCCGGGCTGCTACTGAAAATTTTTTAACAGAATTACGTAATAAGTGATTTATCCCGAACCACATTATCTCCAGTCGCTTACGATTACTAGACCAGCGAGGAAGTCACACCCGTAGCAAAGTTTAAAGACATTATACTCTGTGGTGCCCGTAGTCCTGCCAAATTATTAGTTAATCTGTGGCCCTGCCTTGACCATGAAGTTATTATCTATAACGTCATGGCCTTGGCCATGTTACGTAACCAAATTAGTTCGCAAAAGATGGCGCTACTGATTTTGAAATAACATTTTCTTTTATTGTGAAGAACAACATTTGACGGCACCGTTACACAGTGCTTACTGCGTTGAAGGTTGCGAATTCTTATCCCGCACCGAGCAATTATTGTAAGGCCTACAAATTTTTGTACCGAGTATAGATTTTGGTACAGTATTATATAATAATATATATTTATACTATTTCCTAGAGTAACAGTAATCTTTTTTTAATACACAACACAAAGATATTTTTGTAAAATTGGATCGCAATATGTAATACAAAAAAGATGTAAGTTAAAAAATAAAGTTATATAAGAACGATGAAAATATCTGGGCCACCAGGATTTGAACCCAGGATTTTAGCATGCGCAGCAGACACTATCACTGAGTTACACCCCCTTCCTAACATAAATGTTATCCTCCATAAGCTCTTTTAATCTAAGGGACGGTTATGTAAATATAAACAGCATATAATATTGCTATGCAGGATGTTACATTATGTATACTTTTGTTTATTCAGTAGGTACCTACCTAATTTGTTTGACTTACATCATCGTGTTTATGTAAACTTCCTATAACAACCATGACACGGTAATTTTATCTATACAGTATTCCAAGTTCCAACTTCATACAAACGGACGAAGCGAGAGCTATGCCTACGCGCCTCAATCTCGGCATGCGCTCGGCATGCAGACAGTCGAGACTGTGCCGCAGTGATGATTTATAAAAATATAAAAAATGGAAGAAATAAATAATAGAATAGAAATAAAGAAATAATAAATCAGAACTTCATTTAAAACCAAACATATACATTGTAAAGTAGCTGCAGGTATCTATAACCAATTAAAAGATATTCCTTTTCTCCACGTTGTCCCTGTTTCCCAAAACAATTTTGAATGAGGCTTTATATTAGAAAGCGAATTTTTTATATTTAAAAATCTAATTATAAAGCATTTCGTAAGTCTCAGCCGAAGCGCTTATATTTTTCGGTCGCAAATTTATAAGACCGATTTGTTATTAAAACATAAACATGGTTTTTTAATTAAATCTACCAATCATAAAACGACACGCATTTTTATTTTTTATTGAACACTTCCTATTTAATTCACAAAGTACCTACTATATTTGTTTATATAAAAAGTATATTTACAATCATAAAACTAAATGGAAACACAAAGTAGGCAAATGTAATGCTGGAGGCAGGCAGCCCTATCGCATGTTTACGTACCGCGCGACTGTAGGCATTTATTTGAAAGATACGGCCGAGTTACAATACTTTATAGATAATATTACCGTGACCATGATGCATTTTATTATTACGACTCGGGACGCACAATCAAAAGTTATTGTTCCCAATAGTTTTTAGTTTTAATTGCCACACATCATGTAAGTTGTTCACAAGTTTAATAAATAAAATAAAATTTAGTTAGTATTTTTTGTGTCAAAAATAAATAAATTTAGTTTTGTTACACAAAAAATATTACAATGTGTTTAAATTAATCCATAAGCTCCCGAAATAAGCATGAATGGGTCGGCTCGACCGGGGAAGGACCACACTCTCACAGAATACCAGCGTGAAACGCTTCGGTGTTTCGTATGAGAACAGACCAGCATACCTAAAAAAGTGAAGACCCTATTCACAGGAAACTAGGCATTCCATCTTAGATAATACATAAGCATGGCTTGCTTATGTACCGAAGAATTCCAACTTAGTCCTCACGGGTGATAACGCATCTGCACTTTGATTCGAAATCGGGGATAAAGGGGCTATGGGCTATAGCAACCATTTACTGTGGACTGTGTGTTCGCTGGTCACCTTTATCCTATATAAACTACTGTAAAATTTTGTTTCAGGAGACCAGTTTCTTCTCCCATATAATTATTATAACACAGGAAGGCATTTTCCACACTTCGAACGTGAAGCGGAGAGGTTAGGCTTTACTTTATTTAAAAATTCATTTGTATTATATTTAGGATTTTACAACCCCAATATAAGTTATTTATCATCTAATCTGCAACAATGTCACACTAATGTTAGTTTGATTTGAATTACGCGTATAACTGAAACACTAATTATTATACATTGCAAAATGTATTTTACAACTCACTCAAAACTACTCAAAACTCTTTATTTATTTATTGTAGTAAATAAAGAGTTTGAGTCGATAGTATTTAGTATTATTATTTTCTCAATAATCAAGAATTCAAAATTATTTTACGACACGACATTACCTAATAAACCGTTTCTTTAGAAAAACGGCACGTTCATACATAAAGGTTCGCGACCCCTGCCCTTTACTATTAGATAAAAATTATATCTTAAATAAAACGTTTTATTACATGAAAGAACTGATCATTTTAGGGAATATTGCTCCTCATCGTCATCACAATCTCAATGTCTTATAAATTACTTAAAACAAATTGTTAAACGCGTCATTGCGGTAGTTTTATAATTCATGCATATCTAATAAGACGTTATTGCGACAATTCACAATTTATCTTAAAAGAGAGCCTATTTACTTCGATTGTTTTCGGAAATTTGGAATTGTTATTAAAATTTTAAACAATACAATTTATTTGTAATGAACTTAAGTATAACATATATTTTTACTAGCTTGCCAGGCAGACGTTGTTCTGTCCTTTTCGACGACCCTTTGTCATGTCCTATTAAAAATCCTTAAATTCGCAAAAAATGTGGGTCACTCATGGGCGAAAAAAACTATCCTATCTCTCAAGTTGGACTGAACTGCACACGGTGTGCAAATTTGATTAAAATCGGTTAAGTAGTTGAGTCCATCGCGGACAAACATCGTGATATGTAAAAATATTCCATTATTGTTATCCAAAATGAGTTACTATGGATTTGAATTACCTGCTGTTCGATGGTTCGACAGCTATTTATCCAATCGGACACAGATAGTAACTATTAACAAAAACGATGGCGCTCAGATGTGCTCGTCTCCATGCCCTGTAACCAGGGGAGTACCTCAAGGATCTATACTTGGTCCACTTATTTTTATTCTATACACAGCAGACGTATGTCACCATATAAAGCACAGCAAGTTCCACCTATACGCCGATGATATACAGATTTATCTCCCATTTTTTCCTAGTGAAGAAGAAAGTGCCGTAGCAAAAATAAATGAGGATTTGCATCGCATCTCATTATGGTCAGAAGCGAATACACTTGTGCTCAACCCATGTAAATCAAAATTCATGCTGTTAGGGTCAAAAGGACAGGTTGATCGTATAATGAAAAAGAAATTTATTATAAGCATACGTGGAGAACCGGTGTAACGTGTAAGTGAGACTCGTAATCTAGGATTGCTGATGGACCAGGGTCTTCGCTTTGAGAATCATGTACTTGAGATCACACGCAACTGTTTTTATAGACTCAAAGTACTCTACCAAGTGCGTGATTATCTCAGTGAAGACGTCCGATTGCGCCTATGTGAGTCACTCGTACTTTCAAAATTCGGGTACGCAGATACTGTGTATGGTCCTAGACTATTTGCTAAAACAAATAGGTCAATGCAAAGGGTGCAAAACGCATGTGCGAGGTACATCTTTAATATTCCTCGATATCATCATGTACATCCATATCTTAATAAGTCGGACATATTAAGGATGTCATTGAGGAGAGATTTACATCTAGCCACGCTTCTGTTCGGATGCATAAAATCAGAAAGACCGGAATACCTCTTTCAAAAATTAAAATGGAGAAGAGCAGATGATTGTCGAAGCATCAGAACGGGTACACCAATTCTGGCAATCCCATTTCACCGAACAGCCGCGTTTCGTGGTAGTTTTAGATACATGGCCACTAAATGTTGGAATAATTTACCACCACCTTTACGGGAATCTAAATATGTAAACGGTTTTAAAGCTCAACTAAAAAAACACCTTTTAGCATTTCAAAAATCATGATTTCACGTGTAGTGGCAGGTTATTTCATAAGTACTGTTTAAAAAATATATACTGATGATTAATATGAATATAGTACAATCTAAAATGTAATATATTTTTGTGTGCGAGTGTGTATGTGCACGTGCACAAAATAATAATAATGTTATTTTTAAAAATGTACACTTTGAGTGAATGGTTGATTTATTTATTTATATTTTTTTAATGGAATATTTGCACCGATAACA